CACCGCCGATGCCGTCATCTCGAACCTCCGCTGCTGCCCAACATGTCTGATCTGGAACACACTGCTGAGCCCGCGTGCTCGTCTTCGCCGCCGGCTACTCAAACATGGGATGCTACGCCCATTAACTATGCCTTTCTGGTACACTCTCAGAAAACATTGACCCAGAATCTCCCGCCGCGGGTGGACAACAAATTGCTGGCACGGCAAAAGCGGCGTCGCACAAGGTATGTCTGGGAACCACAGCTACACCTGAACCCCGAAGCACTTTTCAACACCCTGGTACAACTGCTAATTGTCGTGAATGTATAGTCCAGAAGATCACGCAATCCTTGAGGCAGAATATCAGCGAAACCCTAAGCCAGACAAGACGGCCCGAGCTAGTATAGTCACCCGCGTCTCATTGGGCGAAAAGGAAGTGCAGGTATGATGCGGAAGAGCAATTCTCATACTTGGACGACTCGGTTTTCTAATCATCCCACCGGCGTGCTTTTCAGATCTGGTTCCAAAATCGCCGTCAAAATGACCGTCGCAAGTCCAAGCCTCTTCAGCCCCACGAGCTTCTCGCGCCTCGAACAAGCGCGTCCGACGCGTCGAAACATGCCCCCAGTGACGACAGCCTGCCTTCGGAAATGGTCCCTTCTAGCAGCCCCGAACAGCCCGAGGAGATTGGACAGGAGACGGTCCCGTCAACACAATCATCGGACAACTCCTGCGAGTCTGATGAAGCACTTGAGGATAAGGGTGGCCTAGAACAACCGGCTTTCAGCTCTCAAACAAGCTTGGCTACGTCTGTAGCGCTAGAAAGTTCGCAACCAGTATCGAAAGAGGCGATTGTGGAGCCAGAGTCAGCTCAGACACAAGAGGTACCAACATACGATGAGTCGCAACAGAACATGGTGAAAAGGAAACGATCAGTCACGGAGGTTCAGTGTGACAAGCCATTTGTGCAGGGTGCGTCGACACCAAGCCAATTCCACGATATTAAGTCACCGCCTTCGCTGCGGCTATCGCTTTCGTTCGATGGGGAAGCCATGGTTCGGAAAGAAGGCGAATTCACACCCTCGCCTCCGAAAGGACGAAATGCTCTTCGCATCGCAATGTCATCCGACGGGAAAGCTGTTATCAGAGCTGACGGCGAGCCCTCTCCGTCGAGGAATCGTATCTCCATGTTCTCGGCTCGGAAGCCTCCTTTCACAGGACTTCGCAGGAGCAGTAGTGCGGTGGCTTTCAGCACCCCGCGAGCTGGCAGCACGGATGCAGAGAGGATGTTTGGAAGATCAAGAGATCCCAGAAATTGGGAGGCTTTTTTCGATACCGATGCGCGAAGTGCCCTCTCCACCCCAATGAGCTCACAAAGTGCGCCAGGGGCTGGATCTCCTGGGCTCTTCCGATCCCGGAGTCAGCGCTCCTTGACCAGGAGTTTATCAGCAAAGCACAACATGTCTCTGCCGATGAACTCAGCAGACTACCTTAATACCCCTGTTCCGAAACCGAACAGCGAGAAGAGACGGAGGATCTCTCGCACTGCCTCGTCACTGGGCCGATTAGAGTCTGATCACAAGTTGTCTTACGCGGGATCCAACCTGAAAGCCTATATGGAAGCGGCGAAAGACGGGGATGTCGACTTGCAGTGCGGTGATTCAGATAAAGAGAACTGGATCCCCGGAACGAGAGTTTCCCACAATCGCCGCCGGGTTGCATCTCATCACAATCCTCGACGTTCGGTGCTCAAGGACACTAGTGGAAGGGACGGGAAACCCCATAAGAACGTCAATCCAGCTGGCAGGTATGCTCGAGGTTCTCAACAATCACAGCACAGAGCGAACATGTCCATTGGCAAGGACGTGCCAGAATTGGATCCAGAGGTGTCCGCTTTTATGAGTGGGGGAGGCGGCGCCAGTCAGGAGGAGGATCTTGACTGCATCCAGGGACTATTATCTTTGAGCCAAGGCGCTTGGAGATGAGCACTATTGTCTTCTCATCTCTATAATGACCCCATCTTTCTTATGTCTTTTTTATTTCTTTGTCTCATATCCCTCTTCCTTAAGTAGATTCTGTTGGAGATTACAAGCCAGCAAGCAAGCGTGTTTGCCTGTATGAATCGGAGTGATGGTCAACGTGTGGTGATTGGGCTGTGATTGCTATTTGCACTGCTTATGTTATTCCTTCCAGGCAAATGCAATCAAGGGCTCTTTTTTTGTTTGATGATGACACCCCTGTCCTAAGTAATAATGATATCCGGTGCTGGCTGTTATCAGCCTAATACCTCCAATAATAACAAGATCATATTATCAAGGATGTTTGAGCTTGGGTGATAGGTTGTAATCTCCGGCGTAGCATGCGGAATGATAAGCCCAGCATCGATAGCCACCTCGATAGCTTAGACTGGGTAGCTGTCTGCAGGAGTGGGGTGAAGGGAGAAGAGAAAGGGCGGGTCTGAGAGCGGGAGCGGGGAGGGCAGACAGCGTAAAACAGACAATCAGGGCTCAATGCACGTGGCCGCCGCCTGCTGACATATAACCGCTCTGTCTCGCCAGCGGCGAAGGACCCAGAGGTACAACTTGAATACGAGTTGGTGTACAGTATTGTTACGCCTCTTCTTTGCCACCAGTTGACGGATGTCTATCAGCTCACCCTGGGTGCTGCGCAATTGGATGAGCGAAGTCATTCACAACTCGGTAGGTCTAGCCTGTTTTCCTTTTGCACCCTCATGTTCTTTCTTCCTCATTAGCGGTCGTTCGGGTTGTCTATGCAGTTGCGCTGCATTATAAGTATGTATAAAATTTGCATGCTTGTGGGCTTATATATAGACCTCGAAAGGGGTCTGTCGCCGGGTGACTGACGACTACATTTGGAGACATGGACGTGCTGGATGCGTCATCAAACGATCATTTCATCATTCCCTAGGGTCTTTGTCCGACTCATTGTGGGTGCCAGATCCGCCGCAAAGATTCTTGAATGACAGCTATCTTATACACTGCCACACAACACGTCAATTCCGAATCCAGCTAATGGAACATAGACCAGCCTACGAGTCCAGCATACAATCAATACCAGAGACGTGCAATCGTTGCTACAGTCGGTTCGAGGCATGCCCTGTCTGACAAGAGCCGTGGCCGAGGGCCATAAGCCCAGAGTGGCTGTTATCGGAGCGGGCTTCGCAGGCTTGCGATGCGCAGATATCCTCCTCCAGAATAACGCCCAGGTCGTTCTCTTCGAAGCAAGAGATAGACTCGGTGGAAGGGTGCGTAGGCGCCAGATAAAACCACTACCACTTACTCAGAGTCATTTGCTAACCAAGATGTCTATACAGGTGCATCAGAGCAAGATCCATGATCATCTGGTTGACATGTAAGCTTCGTCGCTTTCTGGCATTGCTTCTGTTGTTCATGTTGGGCTCATATCAAGCAGGGGCCCTAATTGGATTCATGGCACTGGAAAGAACCCCATAGTCAGCATTGCCGAAGCCACAAGCACCGCCGTGGAGGACTTCGAAGGGAACCAGGCTCTTATAGCTCCTGATGGGACCCCGATCAGTGATGATGTCGCTCAGAGGATCTCGGACGTCCTGTGGACAATCATCGCCAAGGCCTTCGAGTACAGCAACACCTACAAGGGGACGATACCTGCTGATCGGAGCTTGCTTGACTACATCAAGGAACAAGTGGCACAGACCGACCTCAGCGAGGAAGAAAAGGAGCTGTGCGTTGAATCTAGCAAGATGTGGGGTGCCTATGTCGGTGACCCCATCGAGAGGCAGAGTCTGAAGTACTTCTGCCTCGAAGAATGTATAGATGGAAGTGAGTGTCCTTTAAGACTCCTATCTCAATTGTCTACCGTTACTGATCTCTTTGCCCGCAGACAACTACTTTGTGGCATCTACATATACACGGATTCTAGAACATGTCTCCAAGACCGCACGCCAACACGCGGATATCCGGCTCAACCAACCGATCATCAAGATCGAGTCCTCAATTCGCGATGACAGCAGCAGCAGCACCACCACCACCACTACCTCATCATCCAGCACACAAGTGACCCTAACCACGGCCTCGGGGGAAACCTCCACCTATGACGAAGTAGTCGTCACCTGTCCCCTAGGCTGGCTCAAGCGCAACAAAGACGCATTTACCCCATCCATCCCCCCGCGCCTGAGCCAAGCCATCGACAGCATTTCCTACGGCCGCCTCGAGAAAGTATACATCACCTTCCCGCGCGCCTTCTGGCACACCCCCCCTGCATCATCATCACCTTCACCCAGCACCAGCACCAGCACCATCACCAATCCCACCCCCAACCCAACCTACAAATCCTACCAAACCCCGACGTTCGCTCAATTCCTAAACCCAAGCTACTCCACCACCCACCCTGCCGAGATCCACTGGAACCAAGAATGCATCTCGCTCGCCGCCCTCTCCTCCCGGGAAACCGCCCACCCGACCCTCCTCTTCTACACCTTCGGCCCCAGCGCGACGTACATCGTCTCGCTTATCGCACACCTGGCCCCCACCTCCCCGGAGTACTTCGAGGAACTCCACAAAATCTTCCACCCCTTTTTCGCCCGCCTGCACAACTACACCCCGACCGCGCCGGAGTGCCAGCCGCTCGCCTACCTGGCGACGACGTGGCAGACGGACCCCTACGCGGGCCACGGCTCGTACTGCAACTTCCAGGTTGGGCTGCAGCGGGGGGACCAGGACATCGAGGTGCTGCGGGCGGGGATGGGCGCGGACCGCGGCGTGTGGTTCGCCGGCGAGCACACGGCGCCGTTCGTGGCGCTGGGGACGACCACGGGCGCGTATTGGAGTGGGGAGCGCGCGGCGGCGGGGATCTGTGCGCTCTATGGCTTGGGGACGGTCGGGCTGGGGGTCAGGGGCATGAGGGATGATTCCTTGCCGTCGGCTGGTGCTTGACTGTGTGATACTGGGAAGCTGAAAGAAAGGGGGGTCCGGGGGTTCTCCCCCGGAACGGTATACCCAAGTACTGAGGATTGAGGATTATTGGGGAGGTTGAAAAGAAGGGGGTCCGGGGGTTCTCCCCCGGGAAATCGTTCATGTGCTGAGTCTTTGGGGTTGTCGGTGAGGGAGAGAGGGATTTTTGTTGTTTTGGTTCTATTTTGGGTTATTGCTTGGCTTGTGTATTGTCATGTTTCTTGTAGAGAAAGTATACAGATATAGCTTAGCTGAGATACAATGCACATGAGAGCAGATTGCACTGTTGGAGGTATGTATGATTGGCAGTATAGCAGAGCCACAGTTATTTACACCTTCACCGGCCACTCCTTGGCAACCATGGTACAGCAAAAGTAATAAAGACAAGAGCCGAGCCCCAAGACTGATAGAACATGAACAAGAACGAGTGAGAAACAGTAGGGGAATCACAGGTTGGTTGGTCAATCTCGCTCGAAAAAATGAAGGAGAGAACAAAAAACGACAGCTAACGGGAACAGAGTAAAGAACAGGAACACATAAACCCCAGAGACTAATTCCGCCCAGGGCATCATTTGAAGTGACCATGCGCCATTATGCTCCCACCCACAACTAGAGTATCAACGAGCCTGCGTGATCCTCAACTCTCCGCTATCCTCCTGAGCAAAAATCGAAGCACAAAAACACCGCGCGTACTAGGAAGAGGACAGAAGAGATGGGGGTATCCCTCGATTGAGCGCCAAATTGAATGAAAGGACGAGAAATGTGTGTTCGATAAGGTTCAATAGGGTCGGCTCCGGTGATTTGTTTCTCTTGACGCCGGCGAGAGCCGTTGTCCATTGTGAGAAGGATCGTGGTTCCTGGTAATGGCCGTGTCGAATTCGGCTGACTCCTCAATCTTCCCAGATGGTCTCCAGATCCAGATCTTGACGACGTTCCGCCCCACAGACACTCCAGCGCTTCCGCTTATCGGCCCGCACCCCGTATCCACCAGAAGAAACGCGCGTGTTCATGAAAGGGCTCGAGGGACCCGAAGCATCGGAAGTCCCACGCCGTCGATTCGTATTGGTGGCCTCCTCCGCTTCATCGGCTTTATCGGCAGCAGCTTTCAATGCTGCGATTCTGTCCGCCTCTTGGGCTTCTGCTTCCGCATCGGGAATATCCGGAATGGTTTCCAGCGAGGAGATGCTCGGGCTGCGAGATCGGAGACTGGTCGGGGTCGAGGGAATAGATGAAGTGGAAGAGGCAGAATAGCCTGGAAAGGTCTCATTGAATCGCGAACTGAGTACGCCAGGGGAGGAGTGCGAAGGGGACGGGCTGCCCATGACCGAACCAGGCGACGACGGCGGATGGAAATTCAAGGGAGACGAGGGACGTCGACGATTGACGCGAGGAAGTGTGTGCGGGAGTACCGGCGATGTAGGGTGCCAGTCGGCCTTGGAGGGCGACGTAACCATCCTGGTGTCCAACTCCGCGTTCTCGGAAATGGTCTGGGAGACATTCAGGGGCACCATTCTCGAGTCGGATGATTCCCCCGTGTTCACCTGCAGCGGCAGATAACGCCTAGCTGAATTGTCGCCGACGTTGGCAAGCCCCCCGCGACCATTGACGAAGATATATCTGCCCCGCGAGTCCAGCCCGGGGGAAGAGTGGGCGCGCGTCATTGGAGGGACGCCTGGAACTTCGATCATCGATCGTGAACGGACGTGGGAGCGGTTGAAAGAAGCACGACTCGGAGTTTGGGCAGGCGAATCAGGCGTGAGAGACAAGGTGATCGTGACGTGATCACTGCGTTCTGGCTCCCTGGTATGCTCGACGGTAGAGCCGGACGAGGTCGAGTCAACCGAACCTGCCGAGTCCACAGGGCTTGGGGGTAGCATAATACCCTCTGGGTCTGGGTGAGACGCTTCCATATCCGTCTGCGAACCAAGAGTTGGGCTAACTGGACCTCATGCTGGTGTGCGAGAGAAAAAATTGAAAGGGTGGTTTGCCGGGCGCAGAACCAGGATTTTTTTTTTTTTTTTTTTTTTTTTTTTTTTTTTTTTTTTTTTTTTTGAGAGGAGGGTGAGGCTTGTTGTGGAGCGGAGTAGTGGTGAAATAGTTAGTAGTAAATATAAGGGCTTAGGGGGGGATCCGAATTTTTGCCCGAGCAAAGCGGAGAGGAGTTATTTAGTAGGGAAAGTTCCCCCCTTTTTTCCGCCTTTTCTTTTAAGGCTGGACTTTTTTTGCGCACAAGCAATATATCCCCCTTCTTTATTGTGCGTATAGTCTTGTTCTTTTTGTTTTGTCCCCTCTTTGTCCCTGCACTGTTTGGCCCTTGTCAAGAACAGAAGTGAGGAACAGGATCTTGAGTGGTGACGCAGGACGAGTAGGGGGAGGTAACATTAGTAGTAGATAGCACGGAGAAGTTAACTAAGGTAGTCTAACTAAGAGTGGTGAGGTCAGCTCAACCACCAAAAAACCAAAGAATGAATCAACGCGCGGTCGGGGAAACCACGAGTCCAGCTTGGGGCCCCCATCGGTACACCGCCTTCTGCTTTGGATTTCTGCCAATTACTCTGCAACTTACTCCCTTCAACTTCACTCTCTCCTCAATTACTTAGTACGTCTCTTCCTGTTTGAAATACGACTCAACTAATGAGATACGACTACAACGGCATCATTCTCAACATTAATTGACGGCCTTCATTTGCTGCAGTTATCTCATCGGCTCCTCTTATCAACTAAGTACGATGACCGAGGTATCTAGCTGTTATCCGGACCCTGACGGGTTCTCGTTTCCCCTCTCCCGCCACAGATTCTCTGTCTATGTCCGATAAGCGTGGCTTGAGATTCAATTCAGCTTCCGCCTGTACCCCTCTTCCTAGTTGTTGCGATTCCATTCCCTTGGTTGAAAGAACAGGGACCCGGACCAATCGGCGCAACTATTTTCACTCTCCTCTGTCCTACCTTCGATGTTTACTTAAGAACGGATAATGCGCACCCCGCGCCTTATCGCAGTGGATCCTACTCACACATTCCACGGCGAAAGAGGGGAAGCCCCAGCAACCAGGAGCATCATGTCTGCTCTAGATGGCGCCGAGTCTAGGCCAGCCCAGACATTTGTCGACGTTTCCAGAGCCGAGCACACTAACGTAATGCACTCTGCAACCCTGTCAACATGTGTCAAATTGTGCCTATTGGACCTCTCCAGCAATTCCGGCCGTGCCGAAATCTGGCCTGAGCTGTGCTGTACCGCATGCTGACGGGGCCAGCCCTGCATCATAGCTTGCAACGAGAAGAGAGTAAGCGTGCTGCCACGACCTCACTCCTAGGGTCAAGACTCTGTTCAAAAAGCCCCCAGGCGGTTCAGCTAATCCCTGTCTTTCTCAGTCGGTGGAATTCGGCGGCCACACTGGCATATGATACCTCGAGCCATCCGATTGCAAAAATCCTTAAACAAGGGTTTAGGTACCTTGTTCTTACACATGGTTTACCCTTCGAACTTAGGCCCTAAGCGATGTAGTCAATATAGAACAACGAATGATTAATTATTATGATAGCAAGGCTATAAGAGTGAACTCGAATGAGCTAGCTGATGGTCAAAAGTCAGGGGCTGCGAAGGGGTATGAATGCTCAGAACTGAAACCACGCTACGGGTTTTCAAGATGAATAGTTTTTTGCTGGACTGATTTCAGTGATGATTCTCCTCGCACATCTTCGAGATCTCCTTGCGCACATATACCTCACGCACTGGATCACCTGCGTTAGCTTTGAGCTCCCACTCGCCGATCCCGTACTCGGCGGGTGCTTTTTTCACGCCACGGCCGCCACCCCCAATGATCAAATTGCCCGGTCGATAGTTGGGATCGCTATTCATCCGGTGGATTGCAGAGACATGGATTTGAGCTTCATTCGGGATATCACGAACCTCCCCACAAGGAAGTGGCCAGCGGATCGGCTTCCACGAGCCATCCTTCTGAAGATCCATCCGGCGGAAGGGCAGGTACTCCATCAATTTCCAAGTAAGGACTGACATAGCCGGTAGACCCATCTTGTACTCCAAACAGTCGTGCAGCAAGCCTTCGGTGCTTGAGCAAATGAGGGCCTCGCGGAAGTTGCGACTCGATTCTGAGGTATCTCCATTTGCATATGGCCGAAATCTGGATGGCTGGCCGTCGTCTGCGTTATTATGCATTGGGTCCCGGCAGAAGTCACTGTCGCGATTCCAGTTGATTGTTTTCTCATGGATTGGAGTGTAGTCTCCGTCGAATTCCTCACAGCATTCGAATTGCTTCAGCTTCCGGGGGTCGAACTGCAGTCCGGCAAGCTGTGCTTCTTGGACCATCCACACCAAAGGGGCATGGCTCAATGGCCAAACCTCATCTTCACCAAGCTTCCAGCCTCCGCCAATATCCGCATGGCCGCCTGGAAACCAAACCTCTTGGATATCTTGCCCACCATCCTCCTCGTCACTCATAACCGCCTGCGCAATGACTTCAGGTACTTGCAGTGATAATCCGGAATTGCCGCTGCGGATGGAATGAAGGTCCTCTGTGGATCCTGCCATGTCAGGCACCGCCAGGCTGAGCTTTCGATTAGGGCTGGATGAGGCGTGAGCACGGTATCGATGTGATTCATGATGCAGGTCTTCACGAGAGCAGTTAGTGCTCCGGTATACAGACTCCGTTTCCTCGTGGCTTCGTCCTGGGTGCCGTTGCGCTCCATCGTCCATTCTCTTGTCGCCACTGTCGTCATTGACTGTAATAGCGGGAACATCATTGTGATCATGTCGTTCAGCAGGATGACGAAGGTGATGGAGCTTTTGGCGTCCCCACAGGTGGGCCTCTTTTTTCTTCTTCTCAGCCCAGGGCCTCACTTCCGATATCAGGTCCTGGCGAAATTTGGCCCGACGTTCGTCGATACCGACCGCATGTCGAATCACCTTGGCGGAACTACGAGCGGTGTAAGGAAATTTGCTCCTTTGCATCCATGCTGACTCGAAGCGTGGGACGCTGTTGACGGTGTCGAACAGACCCATGAACCTGATCCTACTGATTGGTCGGCTGAAGGTTTCGCGGAATGCCTTCATGTATCGAAAAAGCTTCTTCTTCTCTTCGCGCTCTTCATCTGTGTCATCTCGTCGCTGCTGCCACTTGGCAAAAGTCTTCCATGCGAAGCGGATTAACTCTTCGTTACCGGCCTCGAGCAATCCTATATAGTCAAGCATCTCGGCCAGGAAACGTGCAATATATGCCCCCCTACTGAAGCCGATGAAGTAGATATCATCGCCGGGAGAATAGTACCGCATCAGGAACTTATATCCGCCCATCACATGCTGGTCGAAAGAGGAGCCGATGGCAGAATCCTTGGCCTTCAGATACGCTGATCGGATCCGCTGGTAGCGGCTATGGCTTGTCAAAGAGTGGGTGGTAACGTAGGTTCCAATCCCAGGCTGGTAGTAATGGAATTGATGACTCTTGCTGCGGTCAAGCATCTAAGCTTCCGGAAGAAGACGAACGTCAGCCAATTGATCGCTTGTGACGAGTGGTCTCATTCAAAGAGTACGCCTAACGACCGGACTTACCCGAAAGATCTTGAGTACATTGCTGTCCGACTCATCCCCACAGAATTTGTTGCCGGTTCCATCAAAGCACAGGACGAAATGTTTCCGCACAGGGGCCGGGCCCATCCCCATTGATACTCCATCCATGGTCCCAAGGTTAGAGGAAGAATTGCATGCAAATGACTAGTCGCGATTGAACCGATAATTAGAAAAAAGGGATAAAAGGGTGGTGATTGATCGATCGGAATCACAACTAGCGCGGGGGATGCCACTGCTGTATATACACATGCGTGGGTAACGTTACTGGCAGCCAAGGCACGCATATGCCGGGATCCTGCGGCCCTACGGTGTGTGGGATCTTCAGAGTCAAAGACTGAGAAAGAGAATGCGTGTGACGCTGCTGTGAGACCGTCCGGAACTTGGATTTATGGGGTTCCTGCAGCCTCAGGCCGGTATCTAGCAAGAGATACGTCGAATCTAATCCAGTTTTCCCTTGGGTGGATCCCAGAATAATGGTTGGCCGAGACAGAGCTGGGACGCATTCCTCCCATTTCTGCCTCTGCATTAGGTCGACCCCTTTTGTGATCATATGCAGCGGG